GGAATGAAATCTTGGTTTGTTAGTTAGAGAGTTTGCCATAATTCACTTCAGCAGCCCAACAAGGATGACTCCAAGAGGACCATACTTGGGAACTGGCTTCAAACAAGCCCGTACCTGTATATGGCCTTTCCATGGGGCACCATGATGTGTACCTCCACTAGCACATGGCATTCACATACTGTGATCCTTTAAGGCTCAGCCTAAGTAATAACGTCCAGAGCTTTGCTCGCGTGATTCACCTGCTGCTCCCCAAACATGTGAAAACCCACTGTGTTTTCCACCTTGAAGCATGGAAGAGCCCAGCAGTTCAATCAGAAGCAAATACAACAATATAAATGTATTGGAAGATTCGGAAGTGGCATTTTCTTAGTAAGCTGTACAACCAGGAGCACTACTGCAATGTTTTCCCCCCTCTTAATAGCTCATAAAAAGGAACAATGGTTGTTACTCTAAAGGGAAGTGGCCTATAAATCCAGCTCTAATAAATATAAACAGCGCTTGTTCAATGTTTATACAGCAGCAGTAAATGGGTATTCAGTTTTGGCACTGTACAGGAAAATACTGCTCTCTATTTCTAGTAGCAAATGTTTGCACCTCCTGTTCGTGACTCATTTAATGCGAGTTTGGCTTCAACAAAGGCCTGACAGGCAAAAAAGGCAAGAGTGTGGATATCAGAGAAATAAAGGAGTCTGAACCCAAATACCCCAATCTGGCACATTGTTCTGATGAAATAAAATCAGTGCGTTTTAAAATCAGAGAACCTCCTCGTCAACAACAAATTAACCAGGAAGGCCAGTAAAGAAATACAACACAGCAAATAAACTCTTTTCATTAAAAGGGCTTCTGCCATTGTTCCTTTGCTCCACGGGAACCTCTTGCCTTTCAACAAGGAGAGCCATTTGGACAACACTAAACATTGTCAACGTATTCTCTGTTAAGGGTGATGGCTGGGAATGGGTGAGCACTGTCAAATCTGGTGTGAGAAGGGGCAATTTGGGATATCCCAAGGCAGGCAGAGCCATTCAGTGATTTGGGTGGAAATGGTGGGATTTACTCCTCCTTCTGCAGACCTGGTTATTTCTTTATCCAAAGCTGGCATTATTCTGCTCAGAGAAGACTGGCTCCCTCAGTGGGGAACTGGATGCTTTTCACTTTCCCTCTGCTCTCTTTGTTTGGTGGCTTGTGGGGTTTTTTTATGGTTTTGGGGGTTTTTTTAAGAAATTGTTCCAATGTCTGATTATATTTCAGTGACTCAAAGAGTGTGTCTGACAACGGAAGAGGTTTTTGATACCAAAGCTGCTAAGACATAGTTTGGGCATCCAACCCTCATAGGCAGGGTAAGAAATACAGCAATATATAGCATGCATCTGTCACTTGCTTTATGTCTTTTTAATAGCTTCCCTCCAGGATTTCTGACCTGACAGCAGAAAGCAAACTTTATTTTCATCAAGAGAATGAGGGGAGACACTGCATCTATTCAGGAGCTCAAACAGACCCAAATCACCAGACATCACAACAGATACCTACTTGCCCCTTAGACTTTACTGCTCAAGTTGAGAAATACCCATATGACGGATGCTACAGCCACTTATAAAAATGCTGGCATCTAAAAGAGAGTTTGCATGCACTTGACCCATAAAACACCATCTCAGACAGGCCTTGTACCAGCACAGACTGAAAATTATTAGGCCATGACCCTGAAAAGAGAAATGTCTGGCCTACGGTCTATTTAATTAATTAGCTGGCCTGAGGGAAGCTGCATGTGAATTTGGGGTGGAAAAAACCCAAAACATTCAATTTAGTTTCATTTTTAGCAAGTTTTCTGGCCAATATCAGCAAGCACTTACACAGGCATTATCATTACACCTGGATTTAAGCAGGAGGGAGCTAAAGCATCCAGGCAGCACATTTCTTTCAGTAAAACCAAGAGAGTAATCACGGATGCAACGTATGCAGCTGCACGCACAAGAGTCCAGGACTTCGGTGGGAATTTCAAATCACATGCGCTGAAGAGATGCTCTGGATATACATAAGAGGACTCTGAATCTGCTAGGAAATAACCCTTTGCTTCCCAGGATTTGACAGCAGCATACTTTTTCCAAAATTAAGAAAAATCTGCGTGCAGAAAACTTAGTGGGTTGTTTTTTTCTTTTTTGGGGTATTTCTTTTTCTCCCAAGCAGCACCAACTTTTGGCAAAGGGTCAACAACCCAGTCAGCTTCAAAAATCTAAAATTCCAGAGAACCAACACATTTTGCAAGTGAAGAAATACTGCTAGGGCACCGCAGGTGGTTGTCTGAAATTGTAAGTAATTAACTGCACTGCTACGAAGTTGGGAAAGAGCACGGTTGGAGGCTGTTTCTCCTGGCTCTGACCTGAACAGTGCTCGCAATTTGCCCTCGCCTGGGATTTTTTGAGACAGCAAAGGAAATACACACTCTTGGGCAGGCAGCTGTGAGTTTAGTTTAGACATTTAGATTTAGGAGCTTTGCTTGGCCTCAGTGTTGTACCAAGGTAGATGCTATAGGGAGATGCCTGGTTTGCTTGTAGCATGATATGACTTTTAATGCTCCTTTTGCACTCCACACACACAAAGCATCACTAAGATGCATTTTCCAGGAATACATTAGGCTTTCACAGAATCACAGAATCGCTCGGT